ATATTAGGGGAAGTGTTTTGTTCAGGCCGTCAATAACTATTCCTTAACTCGGCTGCTTTATTTCTTGTCTTTGATCTTGAACAAATTTTAATTTTAGCCATATGTGGTCTGCTCATCTTCTACAAATCTTCAATTTCGTTTTTTGTGCACTCCCAAATCCCCAATCTCTGATTTTCCTGCGCAACCGCCAGTTCGGTCGTGGAAACTAACAGCAGCTCATTTCCAGCAGAGCCTAAACAAAGCCTTGGCAAATTGTTTGAGTGCCAGTCGGCCCAAGGGCAGGACAAATCATGGCGTTGCTTTGACAAATCATACACGGCTCCTGTCGCTCAACCGAATAGCGACAACCCGCATTGATGACACGCCCTAGCCGAAGTCTTGTCGCCCACACCGACCGCTCCTCCTGACTATGTTACAGGATGAGTCTCCAACTTTTGTCACTGACAATTGAACGGCTTTGATCTTTTCAACGCGCCTTCAATTTAAGCGTGTCGATTGCAGCGTGTCTGGCGTTGAGTGTGTGTGTGTGTGTGTTGCCCCTGGCTGTCTGTGTGTGCCTCATACAGGCACTCGTGCGTGTATTTGTCTGCGCAGCAGAGGCGACATCGGGAAACAGCAGTGGCACTGGCAATGGCATTGGATGCATGAAACCTTTTGTCAATTACGGTGGACGCCAACGTTGCTGCCACTTTTTGTGGCACTGCCACATGCCACACACACACTCACACTCACACTCTGTCACTGACAGGCCCGGAGACTGAAAGGCACAAAATAGGCAAAGATGAAATGATTGCTGATTTCTGGTGCAGACGAGGGCCTTGGGCAACCAGTTCTCCCATTTCGGCTGCCTGCCAGGCGTATGGGCAAAACATATCCTGCTGCATCGAACCGTCCCTTTCCTTCTCCCTCCGCCCCGCCACACTCAACTTGACTGACGCTAACCGTCACCGGTGCCCATCAAAAACGGCGCAGCAATTAAATTGACGTACGAGTTGTCAAACTCGAAATCATTCGCTCTTTTAATTGGGGCACAAACTCGGATCAAATCATTTGTCCGTGGGCTGAAACGCTTCCCTTTTTTTTAGAAGCTTTTGCATATTTTTGTTTTCTGTTTTTTGCAAGCACTTTTTATGTGCATTTTGTGTTTGTTGGGGTTCTCATGTTTAAAGTGGTAGCTGAGAGAAAAAAAGAGAAAAACATAAGCATTAAAAGCTGGTGGCAATTGTATTGAAATGTGTTTTAAGTGGTTTGAAGGAATAAATATTAGATTTAAGTTGAATAGGCATAAGACAATTTATTTTTCAAAAAATATGTTATGAAAAATGAGGGAAAACGCTTAAATTGATTTATTTAAATATGTACATTTTTATTTGCTGTAATTTAATAAATATTTATGTTTACATATGTTTATTTTATTTTGTTTTTATTATATTTTATAGTTAAAAAATTTTATAGTTATAAATATATATATATATATACATATATATATATAAAATAATATTTATATATAATCTAAAATATTTAGAACTATAATATGCAAATTTTATAACTATAAAATAAAATAAAAACAAAATAAAATAAACATATGTTAACATAATATATATATATATATATATATATATATATATATATATATATATGAAAGTAAGTTTGAAGCAAATCGGACACAACTTAAAACGTCGCCCAAAAAATCTTTAAATCGCACTCCGCCCGAAGAAGTTTGAGTCCTACGAAAAAAGTGTGAAACACGTCTCAAATGATTTTTCTTATAGATCTCCGAAAATGAATTTGAGCGCGAAACGTCACCCACCAAATCTTTGACCTCCATTTCCACCAAGGAGGAATGGAAAATGAATTTAAACAAAGATCTCAGAAAATCAGATGGTCAGCAAAAAAGTTACGTACAAACACTTTTCGCGACTTTTCCACACTTTCGGGTGGAATTTCCCAAAACCCCGTCTTAACGTGCACCACATCACATAAGGTAGCTACAGTGAAAATTTCAGCTTCCTAGCTCTTCGGTTGGGCTGTGCGTTGATCACCAATCAGTCAGTCAGTCAGTCAGTCAGGACAAACAGTTTTATATATAGAGATTAATATTTATCTTTAAACATATTGTTTTATATTTGTTTTTATTTAATATTATAATAATTTTTTGTGTTATAATAGTGCAACATATTTTGATTTGTTATTATTTTATTATTAATTCTATTCGTATGATATATATTTATATATATTTTAAATTGTATTTTATTTATGTTATTGATGAAAAATAATTATTTATATATTTTAGCATATGTTTATTTTATTTCTTATTTTTATACATGTTTTTTTTCTTGATGCTTTGCATCATAGTTTCGCTCTTTATTTATTTTTATCCCTGGCCCAGAGCACAGCTCGAAATCCCCAATCAAAGATTATGCTTTTGAAATAGTATGTAAAGTTGATTAAAAAAAATACAAAAATATATATTTTGCCCCTTTTTCAATATTATTTAAAAAAAAATTGTTCGCTTTCAGCTCGCTGCGCATTGGGGTCAGGGCAAAAACAGATTTCAATTCCAATTTGATAGAATCGATTTGGCCAACGAATTTATAAACAACAACAAAAAAACAACTGAAACTGTCAGCGACACTCGGCAAATGCGTCAATATCAAAGTTGAATTGTCCCAATGGGTGCGCGCTTTGGTGTATTACCAACAAAAAAAATATTAATTTATAAAGTAAAGTGGCTCTGCGTACGCCTGTGCACTCATCAGGCAAAAATAAGGCCAAAAGCACGTCAAAATCAGCGGCAATTGTTAGGCGCGGGCTGTGCTACGTTTTTAGCTGCTAAGCATTTCATTTGGCGCAATTGCTAGTTAATTGGCGATTCAGCAAATATCATGCGTAGCAGCGAACCCTGCAGCCTCCCAGACCTGCAGCCAGCACTGCCGGGCTGCGGCCCACTGTGTGGCTGAGTGCGTATTGCCAAATCATCGTCTGTGGTGACGCCGCAAACAACAATCAATTTTAATGAACGCCATTCATTAAAAAACTTTGCAGCGCGAAAATCACAAGCGCGTGGGCGTTGGGTTGGCTGGTGGGTGGCCTGATTGGGTGGTTGGGTCGTTGCTGCTGCTGGTGCTGAGTGGTGACGACGCGTGGAAGCCACTTAAACGGCGTTGATTAATTCGAAACCAAAAACTGACAGTCGCCACCAAACAAAGGCACAAACACGCCAACTGCCGTCACCTGCAGCTGTATGTGTGTGCCTAAAGGTGTGGCAGCTCCTCGTGTCTGCGCCTGGCTGACTTTGCGGTTTTGTTAGGTGACGCGCTGCGGGTTTCTCTGTGTACAAGCGTCATGCGCATATTTGCCACATCGTCAATTAATGTTGTCGCTGCTGTTGTTGTTTGTTGTTGTTGTTGCTGCTGCTAGAGCTGCCACTGGCATTGGGTGTTTTGATAAAGCACCAAACGCAGTTTGTCAATTTCGCATGCCACATAAAACGAGGCGCAAAATTATTTATTCATTGATGACAAGAAATTTGAACTGGAGGTAGAGCAAATCAAATTCAAGCAATATGTTAATCATTATTTATTGCATTGATTTATTCTACATGAAGATATAGCACCGATGAGACTATATTATTGAAGTCAAGCGCCATTTATTATCAATTATGTGAGTTATTAGAGTCTTACCAATGCAAAAGGATTGGATTAGAGCAAACTAAATTTGAGAAGAAAAGTTTATATTTTAATAACACAAACATGATAGCACACCGAAGATTAAATAGCCTTGGATTACAGTTTTGCAGACATTTGAGGAACTTTGCATAGCTTGTAATTGAGGAGTTAAGGCAAAAAATCTTAGCAGAAAATTGCAACTGATGCTTTCCGTTTAGCTAAGTGTAATGTATAATGGTATGATTATATGAAGATATTGCTTATTTGTAAGCAGAAATTTTGATACGAATTTTTTATATGAAACAAAGAAAGGTGCTCATAGAAGAAACTCCGATCGTTGCAATGGCAGCTATAACATATGATGTTGATAAGGTGCTTCTTTCATCATATGTTTTCAAAAAACATATTTGTAGGCCGAGCATTACTATGGCAGCTATATGTTAGGGTGTCCGATCTTGTTAAGATTTTGCTCATAGGTAGGAAACAATGTCAAATTAGTGTCTGTCAAGTTTGGTTAAGATATCTTCAAAAACAAGCGCTTCCTTGCATGAAATTAACTTCTAACCGATCCTTTCTATGATAAGTAGTATCCGATTCGACCAGTTTATATGTACTTACTGCAACAGATAGTCCGAGCTCGTTTTACAACAATAGCTTTAAGACTGAGAGAAGGGCTTGCACATTAAACTGACAGAAAAACGACTATAGATATCTCCAGACAACAGTTACAACTGATCAAGAATTGGAGACTATATAGTTAACGGGAGCGAACGCCTATGGGAATTCGTTATGCATGGAGAAAACTATAAAAAGCTTGCGTCAACGAAATTTGATCGGTTATGTTAGCTGTCACTGCATACATATTCTTTATTGGACCGGCCATGTCTGCTTTTTTTCCGTTTACAATTCAATAGAAAATAAATCATACCCTCGACAAGATATTTCCACAAGTTTCAGAATAGCTAAGAATGTCTTTAGTATTTATTAAAAATCCAAATAAATGAATACCCAGTTTTAATGAATAGTTATTAAAGTCGAACATAATTTGCAAACTTAACAGGCAGCACATACTAATATTTAATACCTAATACCCGGGCTTGGGGAAAATCGATGTTAGACAATCTGCGTGCTGCTTTAATGTGGCCCCGATCCCCAATCAGACACCCCCTAACCCAGGGGCTGTTAATCACACACCTATTGATACGCTTATCTCACGTGTGCTTTGTACGTGACAAAGGCGCTGCCCGATACGCAGCTCAAATTGCGATTTCGATTAACAAGAAATCAAGTTGATTTTTATTTTGTTCTGCTCTTTTCCCAAATCAATTTCAGCATCGCATCCACAGATGAGAGCAGCGGCCACAGCCACCGCCCCAGCCACAGCCGTTGCCACAGCCACAGCCACAGCCAGCGGCAGTTTCGATGAGAACGGCGTGGACACATCCTCGTCAGCGGCTCAAGTGTCGTCCTTGCTGCCCGAGGTCGGCGCCCTGTCGGCGACTGGTGTCCTGGTGGAGCCATATCTGGATGGTTATGCCACATCGAATGTGACCACGCAGATTGGCACCCATGCCTATCTGCCCTGTCGGGTAAGCGGCAACCTAATCAGTTCTCTTTATTTGGACTCGTATTTCATAATTTGTAGCTTGGCTATTCTTATTTTTCTTGTGAATAGTTTTCTTGAATTGCGTGCTTGACGCTGCGTGCATGTTTTTGTTTGTAATTATCGGTAGGTCCTGCCCCTCTGCAGCCCCTGCTACGGCTCTCTGTTTGCCCATTAACATCTCGACCATAGGAAACACATTAAATTTTATTGCGTAAATATTTGCCGAACAACTCGAGGCACTCGGCCATGAGGTGTGACCGCGTCGTGTATTTAACACAAAGCTGAAAAACAAATGCCACCAATTTGTGCCCCCTCCCCCTCCCCACCCTGCAGGGCAGGACGACGGATAATGTGCGGGCTCGCTCTGTGTTTGCGCAGGTGTTTAAAGGTCAACGCCGGCCAACAGGCAGCCGAACATGCAAATTGTTTGCTTAGAAGTTGTAAATATTGTATTGCGGCCAACAACGACAGCAACAACAACAACAGCAACGGCAACGACTAGCCGAAAGCTCAAATTAAATTTACACAAATTAGTTTTATGGCATTACGTGCTTTGTCCAAACTCAACAAATGATATAATATCCCTTGCTTCGTTTCAACTGAGCTGCACGCAAACCAAATTCAAGCGGATGCCCCAATAAATTATTTTGGCTAAATTGAAAAGTAAGCCCAGCTTTTGTCGAACAATTAAACATTTTAAAAGTCTAGAATTTATAAAAAGAACAAGTAAGAGGTTCTAGTCGGAAGCTCCCGACTAGGGGATACCCGGAACCCTCTTCTTCCAACACCAAATGCAGTTCGCGCTACGCGCTCGTTTGATTTAGTAGTAATAAAAAAAAATGAAAAGAAAAAAAAAATTGTTCCCTTGGCAGGGTTCGAACTCGGAACTAACCGCACCACTTGCCGCTGCCTCTATCAAGGGTCACACCAATAACTGAGCTTTAATGGAAAAAAAACCAATTAAAATAACAGCACAAAAAACAATACAATCGCAATTGCAATGCAGTTGATATAACTTAAAGCAGACATGAATGTGTGTGTGTGTACATGTATACAGAAATTCTTGGATTTTGCGCAGCAGCTATGCTGCTAACACGTGCGCGCATAACTTTTGTGTTTCTTAACCGATCTTAATGAAATTTTCGACAGTACATCTTATTGTAGAATAGAATAAAGAATTTTTGTGTATTCTCAAAAATGCAATTGCATATAAATCGTGGCTTAAATTGATGGGCAATACAAGTTGGATAATTAATTTGATTTATAGCTTTGCGGTGGTAGCGGGGAGGTGACGATAGGTATAAAATGAAAGATACTTGATATATATATACTATTCTAGAAGCTACATGTCAAGTTTTGGTGACTCTAGCTCATATTATTTGCCGAAATTGATCAAAAAACAAGATTTCGATATCGATTACTTGGAAACGGGACAAGTTATCGAATATCGGAAACAAACTCGATCTGCGCGGGCATTAGGAGGACCTACAGCTAAATTTCAAGTCTCTAGCTCTTATAGGTTCTGATATCCTTGCGTTCATACATACGGTCAGGCGGACGGAAGGACAGACTGACGGACGGATAGACAGACGGACATGGCTAGATCGGTTCGGCTATTGATGCTAATCAAGAATATATATACTTTATGGGGTCGGAGATGCTTCCTTCTGCCTGTTACATACATTTGCACAAAACCAATATATACCCTGATTACCCATTTTTAATGGGTTCAGGGTATTAAAATAGCTAAGAGGTGGAGTACAAATTCTCCGATTGGTATTAGGCTCAAGATAGTATTGTATTTGATATTTTTCTTAAAAAAAGTTGTAATTATTTAATATTTATAATTAGTTATTTGTACTTTAATTATTTTTATTACTATTTTATTTTAATTATTAATTTAAAGAACTTTATTCCTCGGGGTTACAAGTTGGACTCATAATTAAGACACAATCTAGACACGATTTTTATTTGTTATTATTTTATTATTAATATTTGAATATTCTCATAATTATTTGATTATGGTTATTATTATTTCAAATAAGATAGGAAAGTCATCTTCAGGGTGCCAAATTTTCTGTTAAGTGATTATTTCTTTTTAAGCCATTTGTTATTGGAGTTTGGATATCAATTTTTTTTTTTGAGTTAACCAAAAACTTGTAATTTTTTATATAATTTCGAGTTGCTTAGGCCCTTGTTTGTTCATTATAATATTAAGACATTTATTATGATAACTCTTCACGCATTCCGAACTGAACTGAACTCTCAAAGATATTCGAGAATATATATAACTAGAGTCAACTACTTTGAAAGGTGTGCTGAGAAAGCAAAAACATATGGTACTTCAGGCAGATGCAAAGATGCTGCTAGCTTTAAACCCTAATAAGGTCGCTAGGGCCTACGGTGACCCTCTCATTGAGAGGTGCCTAATAAGGGTTCACACCAGCGACTTTCAGCGCAGGCGAATTATTTAAACAATAATCTTATGTATAACTTTATGTAATAAAACTTATAAACTATTGTACAGATTAATTAATTTAAACTTATGCATATAAATTTTCCAATAATCTTTCGCTTGGTAAAGTTCACAAGGCTCTGAACGATTTCAGTGAAGTTGAACCAGCCACCTTCCGCTTGCCAGTCCCACGCGCAGGCAATCTGATTAAGCTCCGACTTATTATGCAGTCTTATTATGATCCCTTGTTTTTTGATGATTTTCAAACAGTCTGAAACAAACGTTTTCCTCCACTTGGAGCTCGAGTTTGCCAAAAATCTCTTCTGTTTTAAGTTCAGCTGCCCAGTTCTTACGGCTTGAGCTGTGTGTTAATCACCAGGACAATCTCTTTTATTTGTATATAGGTAGCTAAAGTAAGAGATGACTCATCCCAGGGTTTTTTTTTCGAATGGTGCTGAAAGTGTAAGAGAAGAGGGTGCTTACATTAGTTTCCGCTTCTAAAACAGCAACATGATTGAAATAGCACTTAAAAAAATATTGAATTAAATGGCATGATGCTGATGCTGCCCCTAAGTATACACAATATCTGGTCGGACTATTGTCTGTGCGCATTAGAACTAATTAAAATTATCACGCCCCAGTTCAATTTGTATTTCGAACAAAGTCATAAATTTTTGGCATTCCGAGGTGCCCGTAATTGGCCGCCAGGTCAAAGGCAAAATGAAATTCAAATTCTTGTGCGGCTCGGCTCGCACACAAATTGTGGCCTTGGCCATTAATCGTTTGGGTGGACACCGGAACTTCGACTCATCTTGAAACTGGCGAAAATATATATTTAATGCATGGAGCAAGCAGCTTGTGCTGTAATTTTCCCTAAAACGAAGCAATGTTAATTTTTCGTTGTCATGGTCAATTAAGTGCCGGCACTTCGTAGACAGCTGGCACACGCCCTCACCCAGCACCCAGCACTCAGCATCCAATTTGAGGAGGAAAGTGAAAGAATGAATAGCTCGCATCTCAATGTTTGTCAATTACGGGTACTCATTCGTTCGTTTTGCACTTGATGCCTAACGTTGTGAGCTGCGTTGCATGCGGCTCTTTGTTCGGCTGCCATATTAAGTGGCACAGTTGAGCGACTTCTTGCCTCTGAAGCTGACCGAGACTGAATCTCCTTTCAAAATTGCTCGCACTTGTGCTCAGCCTGTCTGCTGATGTCAGTTGAAGGACGATGAGAGCTGGCTTTTGACTATGCACAGGTATCAATTGGGCTATTTAAAGTATTCCAAGCAGCAGCTTATCGTAATGCCCACCAAGTTTAAGCCTTGTCAAGGTGCGCACACAATGTGGGTCCTTCGAGTCGAGCTCGGGCCGAGTGCGATAGTTCTTTTTATTGGCTTGTTGTCACATCGAATGCAACATGAATTTAATTTGAGCATATTTGGTTCTACTTGTGCCATAATTAAATCTGGCACATATGCAGTGCCTAATAAGTCCATTGCAGACCAAATTACAGGCCAGCTCGATGTAATGGCATCTACGGCCTCGACGCAAAATCAATGCCGAAGTGTTGAATAGACAAAATAATTTTCATGTAAATTCAACAAACCAAAATATAGACACACACATGTGTGTGCGTCTGTGTAAATGCATTTTAGATTTACTAACTACGACACATTTCGATACATATCAGTGTGTGGGGGGTTTGGTGCTCGGTCTGCTGTCTGCTTGATAAGTTTCGTGTTCATTTTGGTATTTAATTACATTTCAATGTTGTTTCTGTATCTGCAAGTCATCGCATACATTTTGGCGCATTAATTTACTCCCGGTTTGGGTTTGGCAAATTTGGTTTGACCAATTTGCTACTCAACCACGCCCCTCTAGCCCACACTTGTTGCTGGTAGTTGGAAGCCCTTTAACCCCGTAACTGCCGCGGGTGATTCCTTTGAATTTGTGACATATAATTAAATCGACTTCAGGTTGTTTGTTTGAGTTTAAGCGAAACTTTAAGTAAATTGTGTTTACTCTTTACTTTGTGTAAGCATGTCTTCTTATATGTCCTAAGCTTGGCAACACCCATAACTTTAATTAAATCGCACAAGTTTAAGAAGTCCTCTAGTCCTCAAAGTAAGGAATTGACTCGATAATAAAATTAACAAAAGGGTGCATAGTTAAACACATGACCCTTGTAAATATGACGAAGAATTTTCAAATTCTTATAATTTTTCCACCTGGCTAATAATTACCTTTGATTAGAATAGTCAATTTTCGTATTAAATATTTTAATATCATTTAATTTTATAAATATATATATAACTAGCGGGTATAACCCGGCCTTGCCCGTGGCACGTATGTTATAAAATCAATGTTTTCAAAAAGCTTTGAAAATGATTTTGAAACTGATCGGACGGGAATCAAACAAACTTAAAATTCACCCAAAAAAACTTTGAAATGTATTTTCCACCGAAGGAGTTTAGATTTTGGGAAAAATGTGAAACACGTCTCAAATGATTTTTCTTATAGATCTTTGGAAATAAATTTGAACACGAAACGTCATCCACCAAATCTTCGACCCCCATTTGCACCAAGGAGGGATGGATTTTTCAATTTTTTTTTTGAAAATGAGTTTGGGGCCGATCGGATGGTAAACAAAAATCTTTCATACAACCGTTTTCCGCAAATTTACTACTGTTGCGGGTGGAATTTCCCAATTCGCTGAAATACGTATTTATTAAGTTCTTATGTAGAGCTTTGAAAATAAGTTTAAAGCAAATCGGACACAACTTAAAACTTCGCCCAAAAAATCTTTGAATCGCATTCCCCCCGAAGAAATTTGAATTCTGCGAAAAGTGAAAAACACGTCTCAAATGAATTTTCATATAGATACTAGGAAATAAATTTGAGGGCGAAACGTCATCCACCAAATCTTCGACCCCCATTTCCACCAAGGAGGGTTGCATTTTCCAAAAAGTGCGAAACACCCCTCAAATGAATTTGAACAAAGACCTTTGAAAATAAATTTGAGGCCGATCGGATGCTAAACAAAAAAGTTACATACAAACGTTTTTCGCGATTTTTCCACACTTGCGGGTGGAATTTCCCGAAACCCCGTCTTAGCGTGCACCTACATCACATAAGGTAACTACAGTGAAAATTTCAGCTTCCTAGCTCTTACGGTTTGGGCTGTGCGTTGATCACCAATCAGTCAGTCAGTCAGTCAGGACAAACAGTTTAATATATAGAGATAAATAAATGAAAAAAAATTTTTATTTTGAAAATATTTAAAATGAATAAAAAATAAATAAATAAGACATCAAAATTTTTTAAATATTTTTAGATTTTTTGTTTTTAAAAATAAATTAAATTTTGAATAATTTATTAATGTACATTTAAAATTATTAAAAATTAAAAATTTATATTTAGTTTTTGAGCAATAATAAAGAAAATATTAAATTGATAGTTCAAATAAATTAATTAAATTTTTAACATTTTAAATCATATTAAAATTAATCTTTAAAATATGAAAATTTTAACTTATGCTTGAAACTGTTCCATTCACAGGTTAAACAGCTTGGCAACAAGTCCGTATCCTGGATACGTTTACGTGATGGCCACATACTCACGGTCGACAGGTAATTAACGAAACCCAATTATTGTCGACCAAATGAACAATTTTAATACCCAAATTCAATGTATTTGTATGAATTCGGCATCAGTTTCTGGCTTAGGAGCAGAAATTAACAAATTTTGAGTGCTGTGTGGAATATAAATGAGAATATTGAATATAGAAATTATTATTTGCTCAGATTGACGCCCAGAAGTGAATGGTAATATGCACACATATTAGCTTTGATATACATTACAAAATGTCATTTACAATTCAATCGGCTTATGAATTTATCAGCTCAATTCAGGGTATACAAAACTATCTGCATTGTTCCAGCGCTGAGCATACACTTATGAATACTAATGAATATTTAATAAAGGGCTGCAATGTGAAGCAGTTGCTCACTTCAAAGTGAAACCCCTTTTAATTACTCTGACATTTCACATTCTCTGGCTTAAGATACTTTGGCAAAAGATACAACAGACGAAGATGTGAAATTAAATTTGCAGCTCAAGTTACTTTAAGAAGAGATGCAGCTAAAGATACTTTTGCATAACGAATTCAAGATGATTTAAAAAAAGACACAGATAAAAGAGAGATGCAATATTTTTGCAGCTGAAGATACCTTTACATAATAAATGCACAAAAGATACTTAATTCTAGTACTGCTTAAAAAAATAGTAAGAGATACTTTGACAAAAAAAAAAAAACTTCACTTGAGCAAATAAAAGACACTGCTTTTATTTGCATAGACATAGTTAAGATATTTTCACATGGAACACAGAAGCAGATTAAAGAGCATTCTGGTATTTTTATAAGACTCTTGTTTTGTTTCGACTTGTGAAATTCTCTTCATAAAAAAACAATTTGCAGTAAATTGAATCAAGTGTGCCAAGTGGCAACATGTACTTCTATTTCAATCTGCGTTTCCAATAAGAAGCCAGCCAATGCGTCAGGTGGGTTCTCAATGAAGCCAGTTCTGTATGAGTGTGCATCCTATACAGGTGCGCGTGTCTCTGTATATGTGTGTGTGTGTCCAATGTCCTTCCCGTTCTGACATGCGAAGCGGAAACACAAGTGTGTGCAATTTCATTGCATTTTTTGAAATCCTGCAAAACTTTATTTCAAAGTGTCTGCGTTTTTAGCTTGGTCCTTTTTCTCCTTTTTATGCCCTGTACCCATGGGCAAAAGGGGTGTAATGTTTCTGTGTTAATGTTTGTAAAAAGGCAGCATCTTCGATCCTATAAAGTATATATTCTTGATCATAACGACAAGCTCGGTCGAAGTAGCCTGAAGATGAAGACCTTGAAGTTTATCATTTATTTTCGATATTTGCAAAATATTGATAAATATCGATTTTAAAGGAAGGTTTTGTGAGCATAAATAAAATACTATGAGAGCTAGGTAGTCCTACAATTTGTATGTAATAATGTACAAATTTCAAATACTCAACTTGTTGACTACCTCACCCCATTCCCAATAAAATTGGATTATTATTAAACGTACAGCCTTGGGCTTTGGTATGTGCACACTTTTGTATGTCATATTTAAGCACTGAAAATTTTAGAAAGATCGGACTTTAAACATTCGAGTTAATAGAGACTGTATTTGCCATATATAGTGAGGTGCGAAGGGCAGAAGAAGCACTGAGCTGCAAGAGGCGTGTGTGTGTGTGTGTGTGTGTGTGTTCATGCGTTTTTGTGTGATTGTAAAAGTAACGGCAGCTTGGCGCTGGGCTTAGGGTATCTCCTAGACGAGAGTACGTTTGCTTTTTATATTTCATCCCAGTTGCCTGCTGTTTTAGTCAACGTTTGCTGTTTTTGATTTGTGTGTGTGTGTGTGTGAGTGTGTGTGTGGGGTGTCCTGGTTGGGTAGCCAACATTTCCAGCTTATTACTTTGATAGAAAAGTAAAACCAATGAACCTTTCACATTAGATAAGGCGGCTGCCTGTTTGTCTGCCAAACGGATGAATGGCTGCGCCCGAATGAATGACTGTGTCCTCAGCAAGGATATACACACACACAAGCAGACACACACACACACACACGCACACACACACACACACACACAAGCAGGCGACTGCTTGCAACGGACTGTTGCAGCTGCAGCTGGGCAAACAGAGGACCAGTGAAATTAAGCCCAGATAGTGTGTCCTTACTGATTGCTTCCTGTGTGCCGCAGTCTGCCTTCCTGCACAGCCACTTCCGTCCTGGGTCGATTGTGTGTGCGTGTCCTTTCCTGCTCCAATGTCTTATGTCACATTTATCTAGAAAGTTTTCTTATTCTGCTGCGCTTCGCAAGATGCTCCGCTCTTCACAGCCCCTCTAGCCAGTAGCTCACATCTCACACATAATGAAAATAGATTTCAAAAAAGTTTCTGCCACTGTCACGTTGCAGTGCCAGGACTCAGTCGCCTCATCGTCCTGCAGCCTGGAATGTGCATTGTATAATAGCTCAAATGATGTGTTTACACTTTCATATAAATGTCACGTGCCTGGCGCCTTTTGTTTGCCCGCTGGACGCACCGCTTGCAATTTATTATCATCGCACAATAGATTACTTCTGTTTGCACTTGGCCCAAAGTCCACACAAAGACATAGATACACATGGAGCAACTGTCTGGCACTCGTCCTGCCTTTGCCCTGGGACTGGGTAATTACGTTCAGGTGTTGCTTGACTACTTGTTATCGGTTATCTTCACACCTGGGCTGCATGTCATTTATTTACCAGGGGGAGTACTTAATACGCAATCAGCCCAAGGACCGACGACCTTTTGTAACACTGCTCTGTAACATATTGTTGGTAATTAAGGCAAATATTTATATATGACACCTAAATGGAAACTTCTTGTGCTGGATTGTAATTCCAGTTGTAACAGGGTTCATTGCACTCTGGGCCTGTGCTTGTATTTGTACTGATTGAAATACACAGATATTTAATGCTTAAAGAAATTGACCCTAATGCGAGCCAAACTATAATTAGCATTAACATCATATGGCCGCGTTGAATGAAACCCGTATTTTTTGGTAGATTTGAGGGCCATAAAACAGAAATAGATTTTTTAACATTTTTGTACATTTTTCTAATTTTTGCATTTTTTTATTTGCATATTTTGGTAGTTGGTTGACTCTTTTCGTCATAATTTTAAATCTCGACCAACCTCAAAAAATATATATATATGAATCTGTTAGGCACATGCCTAGACTGTGAAATCCGACTTAAAATAATTTTGCTGACGAGGATTGTAGTAACTGACTTTCAAAGTAATACACCATTTGCCCTATTTATTGTCATCATAAAAACACTATTAAAAACTTGGTTAAGACCATAAAATAATAACAATATCATAAAGTTAAACTTTTTAAACATTAACATTATTTTTTTCTTTTATGACCCACCTTTGAGGAAAAAAAAGAAGAAAAACACAACAAATACCAATATGATATGCAAATTTTTACTGTTTTATTAACACGTATTTTATGTGTATTTGCTGTAGTTTTTTATGCAAAAGTGGAATTTTTTCTAGAATCAGAAACTCTTGTCGAAACTTTTTATAAAAACTTCCGTTTTTTTTTTGTTTTGTTCCTTTTGGAACGCAACATAAACTGCAGATGGAAACTTATGTTGTTACGGGTCACTTCCTGACACTTGGCTAAGAAAATTTCTAAAAAAAAAAAAAAACGAAAACATCGGACAAGAGCGAAAGAAATGCAGAGAACTACTGAGGTTTGAGGGGAAATGGAATGTTGTAAAAATATGGAAAATAATGTGGGGGAAAAGCCAACAGTGCGAGGCCAAACTTAAAAACGAGATGAAAATTATAAAGTAACTACAAAATCTGGATAAGAAATACTGCAATAGGTTGACTTTCAGTGGGCGGTGGCAGGAAGAGTAGGAGACGCCCGACGCATGGTTAAGCAAGAAGAGCTGGACTGTGGGCGGGGCGGGGCACAAAGGAAATGGTAAAAGTCATAAAATGTCGAGTTTTACGAGTGCAAAACGCAAGGGTCTAATCTGGGTTTAGTATCAAAACTTGTTAGTGCAAGGAGGACGTGCAAGAGAGAGAGAGAGAGAGAGTAAGAGAGAGGGAGAGAGAGAGAGAGAGAGAGTGAGAGAGAGGGAGGGCAAGAGATGTGTTGGGCGAGTCCGGGCAAAGTCAAAAGCTTGAAGCAGAGTGCCTAATAAGCAATGTCAACGCATGTGTGCGATGCCAGAGACCTAGGCAGTGGGGGGTGGGGTGCGTGTTGTGGCACGAACGCTTTAGTTGGTGCACTTTCAACTGGAGACGGAAGCATTTTTGCACTTTGCGCAAATGGCAGAGGGAAATTTCCGGGCGAGCGCCGCACAAAAATATTGCAACAATGACATTAAATGCAACTTATTTCAGTGGACTCCTAAACAAGCACCATCTCCCGCCCGCCGCCCACTCATTTGCATGCTGACAATTGTTGTTGTTGCAACAACTTTGTTGGCGTTTGGTGGTGGTGGTGCGGGGTGCGGGGTGCCCGTTGGCTTGGCGGGGGGCAGCTGTTTAAATGCCGCAACTAAATAACTTTGAGTGTCTTTTGAGTGGCCATTAGCAGCGGAGCTTAGCGCGTAAGTGGGCCTGTTTTTATTGCCGGTGCTGTTATTGTTGCTGTTGTTCGAGTGGGCCGCTTTCAACATGCGTCGCAGTGGCTGCCCTCGGACTCGAACAGGTTGCGTGTCCTGATTCGATACAACCTATGCAAGTCGGAAGTGTATTTACTTTGACTTTGCTAAATACCCAAAATATCTAAACACACTTTCATGTTTGAATGAATCAAGTATTTAAATACTATTATAGATAAATTTTGGAACTAAATCTTAAAGACTTTCTTAAATAGCCAACATATTGAATGAGTATTTATGTTTAATATTTATTACATATGGCTTATTTTTGACTGAATTGCGAAACTAGATCTTTGGGATCGTTAAATTTAGAAAGCTACGTATATATGTCAAAATGTATAAAAACAATTTAATTTGTTCTCCAAACAAAGTGAGTTCATGTAATATAAAATATATAATAGATAATAAATTTTGTTCAAAAGGTTCTTTAATTTAGTTTGTTATATTTAATACCTATTTATTTTTATTTTTTAATATGTATATATATTATTTTATTGAGTTGAGTTTAATATCTATAGGCTGAATTTTAAAATATTATTCCAGTGTACCATATAGAAAGACTAAAAGGCTAAAGAGTTTGTCATTCCAGCTAAGATATAAAAGACCTCAGCTTTCCTTGAAAAGAAAGGTCACTTATTTTTTTGTATACTCTTCCTTTAATAAATTAATTAAATTCATATTAAATAGCGCTTGGCCTAAGCAGCGCTGACCTTAGAGTTAAGGGCCCCTGTGCAGAAAAAATATTTAAAAACCAACCGAATTAAATGTTGCTTATAACTTCTTTTATTGCAGAGCTGTGTTCATTGCGGATCAGCGCTTTCTGGCGCTCAAACAGCCAGATAAATACTGGACGCTGCAAATCAAATATGTGCAGGCGCGGGATGCGGGCACCTACGAGTGCCAGGTCTCCACGGAGCCCAAAGTGAGCGCGCGCGTGCAGCTGCAAGTTGTTGGTAAGTGGCCACGGCCTTGGACAGGGACACGGAAACGGACACAGGCGAGAACAGGGAGAGGGGAGACGGACACGGACATGAGCTTGAGCCCAGAACTAGTTCCTGCCTCGCTGCGGGCCAGAGAGCATATTGAGTGCATGCAATTAAGGCATAATATGAAAGGTCAGGAGCAGCATTCATGCATATATATAAACACATGCATATATATGAGATAAGTATATATATCTATATATATATATATATATGTGTGTGTGTGTGTGTTTGTTTAAGGGGAAAAGTTTTTGGCCTGGTTGGGACCTTGGGCCATGGCCACGTTAGGCACGACTGGTCAGCAGCAAAGCCAGACAGTCGAAAAGAGTGTCAGTGCAAGGGGTCGGGGGTCACACATACACACACACATGCGCACACACACTTGCTTGGAGATCTTTGCATCTTTCATGCGGCTGCTGCATTCGCAATTGCTCACGAAATTGCATTTGAATTGCGGTGCCTGCTGCATTTCCATTCAAACGCTTTTTTTGACCAGAAATTTTTACCAAGTTTTTTAACGAGAAAACTTTTGTGTTAGCTTCACTTCTTGGGTTTGTTAGGCGCACACAAACGCACGGAGGCACACTTGAGGCCCGGACTAAAAAAGTTAATTAAATTTCATGTTTGCACACACAAAACACACATAAACGCACACACTACCAAATTGACCAGGGTAAACGCCTTTGGGGTAAAATAAAATTGGACTCGAGCATGTGTATTGCTCACTTGTAATTGACAATAAATGCCTCGAAGAATAATTGAATGAAAGAAAACCTGTGCACAATTTTGTTACCCAAGATATTTCGGTTAAAAGGCAGCAGCTGTTTCGTTTAATAGCAACTAATTGGACATGGTTCAAGAAAATGTCTCAGGTTAATAGTAATTCCCTTTATTTGGCAAGAAGCTTAATTTTTAAAATTAGGTTTTATTAGCTTCAAGATATTTTAAAAATAATAAATAAAATATATCAAAATATTTGTTGGCTGGCTCGAGGTCCGTGTTTGTAAAGACAAACAATGAAAACAATTTTATTTAATACTTTGCCTCCGATATATTTCGGTTGCACATCGGCAAACCGTCTTCAGGGCAATTATTTTACACGTCTGCGCTTTTTGACGTGGAGATTGATACCGATACATTTCCCTTAATTTCTATATATTTTTCATTATAGTATTTATAATACCATTTATTAATTATTTTTATATACTATAAGCACAGCGCTGCAATTTTTCAATATAAATATCTAAACAATTCTTGAAACTAAAGAAAAGATCCACTCTTTTTAAATATATTTTATTTATTTTGCCAAGAATCGGACAACAATTTTAGCTATTGAAAGACAGGTATATATATATTGTATATAGATGCCGCGCTTAGTTCCACACTGATAGCCAAATTGAATATAGTTTCATACAAAACACTTAAACTTTGATAGACTGGGATAAAGAGAAAAACGTAACATACAAAAAATAACATAAGGATACGACGCTCGTAAAGGCTGCAGGAAGAGCGCAGACTCGATAATGCGCTGCCAAAAGTGATTTTCGCATTTCCAGTTCAGCTAATTTGTATGCTAAGCACTTGCCCCAAAGTGTGTGTGCGCGCGTGTGTGTGCGTGTGTAGCAAGCCAGCGGCAGCGTGACTAACAGCGGGACGCCACTGTAATATGACTGCGGCGCCCAACAGGTATGCCAGCGAATGGGCAACTCGTGCCAAATGCTCGACAAAGCTTGACGGGCAGGCATAAAGGGTGTGTTAAGGTGGCGAGGGGGAGCGGGGTGGTGTAAATTATGTATGCGCGGCCACATTTTGCGTTAATCTAACGACAAGTTGAACGCATAAAGGATTTCGATGCGTGCCCAAAACCGAGTGCGGAATACAATAGAATTTGGTTGCTGCCGCCGGAGTGGGTTCTGGTGCGGAAGGGGGGTCTCTAGCCTTTAGCCTTTTGCTATTTGGGAAGCTGCTTTCTTGGCCAGCAACCGGCTCAGCGAACCATTATTTGCAGTCATTTGGCACAGCGCCGGCAACTCGTGGTCCAAGTTGGCTTTGTCTGGCTGCAAGCTGGGTCTCCTTTTTTGCTTGGGTTGTGTGTTTTCCCACTCGGCTGCCATAACCATTATCGGCAGCACCTAGTTCCCTGTTTGCCCAGTGCTCCTTTGCTTCCTTCTCCTTTATTCTCTGTTTTTTTCTCGTATCTCTCTTTCTCTCCCTCTCCCTCTGTCGGGTTTTTTGATTTTGTGCCTTGCCATGTAATTTGTATTTATTGCATCGTTTTGTCTGTGCAAACGACTAAAACTCCCTTTGCATGTTGTCGATTTGAGTCGTCCCTCCTCCCCCCTTCCCCCCTCTACTAGCACCTCTTTAGCAGTGCCTGCCCAATTTCCAATGTATTTTATGCTTGGTTCCGTTTCTTCTGGCCTGATGCTTGATTTCTGAGCCCTCTTGGCCATTGGCTCGTTGGGGTAATGGGATCGTAGTTTTCGGTCAATTTGTTATGCCAATGCGAGTGTGTATGTGTGTGTGTGTGTGTATCTCTGTGCACGTGTGTGTGTGAGTGAATTTGTTTTTTTTTATTGGTTAAAATGTCAGTTTCTTTGGTTTTGGCTCATTTACTTGATGTTTTGCTCGCACAATGGCCAACTACAGCTTAGGGACTGACAGCGAAATAATGAATGAATAATGAAAAACATCTCTATAATTAACAAATGTTATACTAGGGCATGCTTTGTATTCGAACAAGTAATTAAATATTTAATTAATTAGTTTTCTATATAATGATTTTATTAAAAAAACTCGTATCTTTAATCTTTTTAATGTTGGTATGCATACAACCAAAAGCTTTTGACGCACAAAATTCAATTTTGGCCCATTGTGCGTTAATGTACACTCACATTTAGCCACACACCCACACAAACCCACACACAAACACACACACACGCACACTCATTGGCGTTGAATGAATATATTTTTTTCTGCATCATTGAACGACAAACTAGATTTGGTTTTATGAGATTTGTTTTCTGCTCATCTCGTTGGTTTTCCAGCTTCTGCTGCCCCAACTTACCCTCTATCAACCATCTCCCTCCCTTAATTTTTTGTGATTCTCATTCATTTACAGGACTTGGCTCTGTTCGTCTGCTTATTTAATTTGCTGCTAATCTTGTATAGCCAAAGCCAATTTTTTGTGGCCTGGTGCTGCGCGTTTCTTTTTTCTGTTGCTTTCGGTTTTTATCTCGCCATCGAAAGTGACAATTCCGCAGTAATGTTTACGGCCAGACGCAGCAGCCTCTGCACCCAGACGGACTGCACATTTCAAACTTAACTAATTTCCCTAAAAGCATTTTGCCATAAACCCAATTAATTTAAGTTAGTGTAATTCGTTTCACACTATATGCCAGGCCCTGCCCCGCCTCACTGTGCAGTTCCCCTTCCCAATTTGTGCCCTTTGTTCAGTTGAGAATTAGTGAAATTGTGTTTACCGCCTTTGAAAGTTTCTTTTATTTTATCTTCACTTGCGGTTTCGTGGTTTCCGTTTATCACCTCACCATCTCTATATTTCCATAGGTCTTTTTTCGCTAGAGCATTGTTATCGCGGCTTGTTCTTTAAGCTAAAACTACATTAAGAATCCTTTTATGTTAGAATATTAATTATTTTCTAATTACCTTGCGACCATATCGTGAAATACGGCTTGCTTATTTTAAGCAAAAGGTTTTTTCCATGTTTTTCAACATTTTAGAAAATTGGTATTTAAAAAACAGCATTTAATATGTTTCTAGAGGAATCAGCAAAAATATGAGAAAATATTTCCAAATAGAGATAAGTACGGGAAAGAAACTTCGATTTTATTCTGTTATATCTCTAAACAGACTTTTAGCATCCCATCCCGTTTTAACTATAACCCACCCGTCATGATGGCCGTCATGCACACACTGCTTCTATAGGGTAAGCCCTTAATAGACTTTGAACTCTGAGAACTTTGACAAAAATGCATTCTTATAAAGCAAACAATTTTTGAAAGGGCTTAAATTCTAAAACTATTTATGGGTTTCATATTAGATACTCTATCTGTTAAATTTTGAGAAGAGAAGCCCAATGCCTACAATACATTTTAGTATATGCAAACACTCAAAACTGCCGGAGAACAAATGTACAGAATGAACTGGGTTTGGGACTGGGATTGGGTCTGGGACTGGGACTTGGGGTTAAGGGACTTTGGCTAATAATATTGCATACGCTTTTAGCTGCGGCGCGCATCTAAAAGTCAAGCAACTGGAAAACTAACATGCACAACACGACGATTTTGACAAGCTGACACAGTTTGGTGTCAAACCAAAAGCAAAGAGCCCGCACACGCACACAGCAATACACACACACAGAGACACACACTCATACACATGCGGGCAGACAGCATTTTGTGCAAATTCTCAGCGCATTCATTTTGAACAGTTTTGTATGACTAGCAGCAGTGAAAACCCCGCCGTATACGTGATTTTGTCGAATTCGTAAGCGCACGTCGCCGTTGGCCAGCTTGTGGCAGGGGCAGGGGCAGGGTCCAGGGGCACAGCTCGTGTGATGTATAAATGTATGTAGCCAGCGATTCGAACTTACGTCTATGTATTTTTTATAGCATACGAACTCGCATTTTGACACAACTTGCAACATGTAACTGACTGAGGCATAGTTTGTTATGCACGTGCGTGTATCCAGTGTGTGTGTGTGTGCGTGCGTGTGTATGTGGGGGTACCTGCTGGAACCAGTAAGTGAAAAATTGAAAAGTAGATTTGCCCCACCCCCAACCCCAAGGAATAGGTGCGCAGATTTACGTGCGCGACATGACTAGCAGCTGTTAATTCAATAGATTAACGCCAATGTCACAATTTCACACAGACACGCGCCGCATTTTCCATTGGGCTTCACTCATAATGAACATCATCATCATCAACATCATAATGCTCATCATGGCGTTTTCCTTGTCTTGCTTCGTTACAGTTCCTCGCACCGAAATACTCGGCGAACCGGATCGCTATGTCAAAGCCGGCAGCAATGTGGTCCTACGCTGCATTGTGCGCGGCGCCTTGGAGCCGCCAACGTTCATCATGTGGTACCATGGAGCCGAGCAGCTGGCTGCGGATTCGCGTCGCCATCGCACGCAATTGGATCCGAATCTGCCAGAGGCCAGCGGTGAGGGTCAGAGCACGGTGAGTTCTGCCAATTGTTCCCTTGTTGATTTTAATTTAATTACACTTGATTTCAAATTGCTTCTCGACGTTTCCGTGCCTGGGTCCCTGTTCGTCTCCGTGTCCGTCCGTGTGTCCGTCGTGCGTTCGAGCAAAATTACAATATTATATCATACAAGTCGCATTTATGTCACATTCCTGCCACGCCCCAAATGCCATTCAAGGCAAATTTTGTGAATAGCTGAAAATTAGAGCTGCCCTTTTGACAACGTGACTCCGCGCACTCGTTAAATATTTAGCCAACGTGTCAGAATAGAACTTGTCATAAACGTGGCTCAAACCTGCCATTACCATAGCTTTTTATGTTTCTCCTATTTTCCTTCAGTTCTTTCAGGCAAGTTTTCAGACTTGGCGATAAATAGCGAGTTTTTCTTTATTATATCTAAAAATTTGCATTTCTATTTCTGCTCGTTTCAGATCGGCTCATTAATCATCGAGTCGGCCAAGAAGCGTGACACAGGCAATTACACTTGTAGCCCGTCAAACAGTCCCAGTGCGACGGTAACACTCAACATTATAAATGGTAAGTCCTGGTGGATGAATATGTTTACGTAACATTAATATATATCAAAGACTACGAGATGGCGAATCTTTAAAAACGTTTTTCTTAACTGAAATCAGGGATTTTTTGCATTCTGTAAAATTAAACTAATTACAATTAATATTATTATTATTAAATGAACTTAACTTTTAATTCAAATAAAAATTTTTTTTATTTATTTAAGTTTTTGTACAAAATTTTTAATTATTTTTATTTTGTTTCGTATATTGTATACCAATAAATAACAATTTTTGTTGTATTTTCAAATATGGAATACAAATATGGAAGTATAATAGAAGTTAAACTAAAAAAAAAAATTGAATTATAATTTTTTGTTCTTATCCGAAAAATTGGAATATAAACCGTAGTCTAATGAAAGTTAAGCTTATAAAACGAATAAATTAATTAATGACAATAAAATAAGTAAAAAAATATAAGAATTTGTTTTAATTATGTTATTAAACAAATTTTTATATATTTTTCATTTATAATTATTTGTATTTTATTTTATTGCATTTTTTTTATTCCTCATTTATTTATTTTTGTTTTTATTCTATTTTGTATAGATAAGATTTCTTATTGCATTCCAATTTCATGAAACGATTGAAATAAGAAAATTTAAATTTTAGGAGCAGTATACCATAAAAAAAGGCGTCTATTTATTTCTACTTTGACCATAATTGTTTATATTTTAGCAAAGATAATATTTCTGATTCTTTGCATTTTCATATCAATCTGATCCTGAATTATTATGACAATTTTAGGGGAATCATCGGCTTCGGCTGTGACGTCATCCGCACCCATCACACGTGCGTACACCCTGGGCATCCTGGCTTTGCTCCTCAGCGTTATCCTGATTGGGGCAGGACATCGCACATGACAAGTTGAGGCTGGAAGCAAACAGCAACTGATTTAAGCTAAAAACGAAAAGTAGCAGCAGCTGCGAGTCGAAGCAAAAATAATAAGTGCAGCCAACAAAAATTATAAATTAATAAAAAGCAAAATCGAGCAGCAAACGATGCCATACAAAAATATTTAAAAAAAAAATAGTGCATGTTGTAAGCTAGTTGATTTTATCTGCTAACTAATAAAATAAGCATTGAAAAAAAAAACACGACCCAGAAAAACTGTGGAGGAAACGAAGTAAACAGGAGTAAAAACAAGAGTGTTTGACAAGCTAAAAGTATGCAAATAAATTGTAAGTACTACAAGCTCTAAGCAACTAGTCGTAAAACCTTAGAGCTAAGACAAATATATATATATTTGTATATATATATATATATAATATATATATATATATATATATATTTATATATATACTTATAATACCTACATGCATGCATTTATATATATTTAGCTGATTCGGCATTTGGTTGTCGTCTTTGTTGTATTGGCAAATATGTGTCTATGTGTATGTGTGTTTGCATAAATGCATAAACGTAAATATTGACGCAACATCAAATGAAATTGCATCGGATATTCTTATCAGCCAGTGCATGGCTATTTGGACAGACAACGACTCCAGCTACAATCGAATAAAAAATAATATTTGATATTTGGCCATGCAGTTGGACAACAGAAATGAATTTTCATTGCAAAATATTTACAAGTATGGCCAAGAGGAACAGAAAGCGGGGAGCCCGCTGCATTATTCAAAAAGCTATCAAATGTCCTTTGCCTTGTTTGTCTTCAATAGAATTTGCTGCATTCCAATTGAAACATTTGAAAAACTGAAACACAGTGAATTTCGTTTAGAAACAAAAATATTCAACTAAACTTTCAAAACGATTGAAACCTGTTCAGCAAAATTATTAAGAAACATTTTAGTGAAATGAACTGCATTTTAAATGCTTTTTCATACAATGCAAATGCATTACAAAAGCTTTATAAATATAATTTAACTTTGTTTTGTCGTAAATCCAACGATATTTACATGTGTTCTGTTCCATAACTCAACTCAATTTATGTTATGTTTGTCAAGTCATAAATACATAAAATATTTTGCAAGCTCTTATCAAACAAAAAATAAACTCAAAAATTAACATAAACAAGGAAAATATAATTTAAAAGATAACATTTTCAAAATAATTGATTGAGAGACTCGCATCAATTTGTACGTAGCATTAAGGCTTAACTGTATATACAACTGTATTGTGTAATGTAAAACCAGCATGTAAATTAATTGATTATACACATATAAAACATATTTAAAATACCATACATACATACACATATATGGCACACGAAGAGTTAGTACGCAGAGTATTCAACTTGCATTTAAAAGGTCACGAAAAAACAACTCGCAAAGTTAATCGGGTAAAAAATGCATTGTGCAATAGCAGACGAGTTGCATAAATTCATATTTATTTATACACTCAACGCCATTTGATAATTAGGCGAGTTAAGGCATAAACAAAAAATAATAAAAGCAATATACGAAAATGTAATAACAATTTAATTGCGACAACAGAAAGCCATAAAATTACCCAGTTCCATACAAATAAAAAGTCGCTGGCGTTGTATTTCAGTTGGTTTTTATCTGAGCGCAGCAATTGCAATTAAGTTGAATACCAAAACAAGAGCCGAATGCTAAGAAGCCAAAAAGCTAATACGCGGAAAATACAATAAACGCTTAATTGCAATTAGTCGCTGTGACAGAACTTAAAGTCCAAATAATCGAATGTGCATTAATTATACTCAATATAAATAAATATACATATATACATGTGTGTGTGTGTGTCTGTGGCGTCACGGCGTATGAGTGACCTGACCTGTCGGTCATTAATAAAATCCAACCACAAGCAGCTGCGACTAAATGGGGCAACAACACTGTGGTCAACAGCCTGTGGCGCCACGCAATTTCCTTTTCCTTTCATTCTTTTTTTCTCTCGGCAAATAATCACGCATCAAATGTTTGCGGTCTCTGCGGTCAGCCGTCTTTGAGCTGCAGCAAACAAGTTTAAAACTTTTAACCCGTCCGTTTTTTTTATTTCGAACAGCAATTCGCTTAATTGAGCCCCTTTCCAACCCCCAACCCACTTTAATTCCCACAGATAGTTAACTATTTAATCCAACCAAACGTTTAAATGTTGAGCCATGAATTTTAGCCCGTAAGTCGATAGTCGTATGAATAGCTATATAATACTATTAAACGAAATCAAAATACATTTCTAAGTCCTTAAGTGTTTTTTCATAAAACTAATTAAAACGTGACGCAAGGCCAGCCTAGTCACAGCTACTTAATTAAACTAAACCCTTAATAATCGTAAAAACGTAACGTAATCAAAGCAAGGCAAATGGAAAACAGAAATAAAATTAACTAAAAGGCAAAACTGAATTCGTTTCAGTGCATTAGCAAAATGTTAAACTACTTAATTGTAAATATAAACATAAATATATATATCTATCTATATATGCCTCATTGAAAGGAAGGGCATAATACGAAGATACATTTTTAAACATACATATACACTATACATATACATATGCAGTTATAGCGAAACTAACGTTAAGTACCAACTAATAACAACAACAACAACAAGAAAGAACAACGTACTTATATGTAAACGAAAATAAACTATGTGAAAACTCTCAACGGAGAAAATTTATTGCATTAAATAAATAATAATCTGAATATCTCGCAAAGGCCATTTATTTTTACTGCACTTGTTTTAGTGTGATTTAATTTATCAAAATTGTTGTTATTAGTTACCATTAATTTAGAGTTATTTTTATTTATTTTTAATTCTTAATGAATTTAATATTATTTTCTCATATTTTTTTTTATATATTTTTGTTTTGGTTTGTTTTTCGTTTTCAGACTTGGGGTTGGGACCACCGACCCCTAAACTGCTCTCATTAACTCAGGTAGGATGTCTTTTTAATTATAAATATTTATTTCAGTCATAAATAAAGTGAAGAGCAAAACAAACAGAATTCACCAAGTCAACAAAATATAAAAATAATATTATTGTGCTGAAAAGAGCTTAAAAATAAATCCCGGAAAATGTGCCAACCCATATACATAACTCAACCGCCTGCTGATTCTCCTGCAAAAAAAAAAAAAAAAAACAAAATCAATTACCAAGCGTTATCCAAGCAAAACAGAAATACTTACAGAATAATTGCTAAATTGAAGTTTCATTGACTGGCAGCAGAGATTGCGAGATGGACTCAATGATGATCTCGCGCGACTGCACGGTTAGGGAGCGGCCGCGCACGACCATGGTCATTTTGGCATTGTTGACGCCACGTGCCACCAGCTGGCCGACGGCATAGGCCATCACCCGGCCGGTCTCGCGCTGCATGGCTATGGCCGGCACCAGGCTGAAGATGACCGGCTCAATGCTCTCGCCATTCTCCTCGAGCGGATTGACTATGGCCTGGGCCAGCTTGTGGGCAATGGCGTATATGAACTCCTCGTCGACTTTGACGCCGGGATCGCAATTCTCGACCGCACTTGTGAGCAGGCGTCGCGTTATGTCGGCAATGTCTATGGTACAGGCCAGCTTCATGAGACGGCCGTTCTTATTCGCGGGCAGCTCCCAAATTGTACTCGAAATCGATTTGTAAATGCCACGCTGTGTGGCTGCATCCACGTCGATGAGAGTCACAAATTCGCCAATATCATAGTTTTGTATGCCAATTGAATCGCCATTTTGGTCGGCCGCCTCGGGATGGGTGCCCAAGTTCTCGTAGAGCCCATGGATGTGCCACTCGAGCGTGGGCTTAAACGGCAATGCTATGGAAGTGCTCGACGTCGACTCCAGCTCCAAATCGGGTAAGTTCTCAGTCATTTTTACCTTGGGATTTAAACAACTTTTTGTAAGTCTTCCGTTGCTCACATCTTGCTTCGTGGTGCACTCACTTGTTATATAATGGATATATATGCTTGATCAAGCAGTTCAGATTCTCTATGGTTTTACGGAATCACAGTTTAAATTCTCTTAAAACGACAACAACAAAAATAATATATCCAAATCAATTAATTTATTGCCTGCTATGACTTAGCAATCATTTTTGTGAAGTTTTTTTGTGTGACTGGCAATTATCGATGACAAGTTATCGATATTTATTTTATGAGACAGTGGCTTATAAGAAATTTTAATCGTTATTCGATATTTTGTCCAACAGTTACTTCGCGAAATTTAAAATATATTGATTTGTTTTCCATGTTTCACAATATTTCATTGAGTTTTAGCCTTTTTCTAGGTAAATTTGGATGTTTTAATGAGCTAGCTAATCAAGCTATTTTAAGTACATTGGCTTCAGCTAGTTTTTAAAGCAGTAAAAATATATTGGGTTCAAATACGTTTTTCTTTTTGATTGAAACTATTCTGGTAAAAAAAATTATGTTGGATGAAAAATTAGTTATGTTTACCTGCTGACTTTTGAACTGCATTTCAATGCTCCGAGTTAGCTTCCATTCAAATGCAGAGCAGTTTCAAGCCTTGACCCAACTCTTCCGTTCGGAATACATATATACTTATTTGTGGGATGTTTATTTTCTTCAATTTCAAACTGTGGGCCTGCTGGAAACGCGTAAAAAATGCGCATATGCATAAGTGCGCATAGAGCTATTAGACAGACGTGTGTGTGCACTTACTATATAAACTACATATAAATGTCCTGGCAATGCGACAAGTTTGGCCAAGGACGTTGGGAATCAATGCACTGAAACAAGGTCGAAAATTGTCAAAAGGATGCATTCCAAATTTCTATTAGCAGGGCGAATCGCCGTGTTTCCCCAGTTGGAATTGGGTATATGCACTTTCTGATGAACTATGTAACGCTCAGGCAATATTTTACTTCGCACTCAAATCAATGTTAGCCGACTTTGTATTCTTCAACCGTTCACCTTCTATTGCGAACTTTACTTTTAAGGGTATTCGTAGCTGCGGTTTGAACCATTCACTTTTTTTTGATCTGATTGAATGGTATGCTAACGCCATTGATTGAATGAAATTGAAGCAGTTTGATTGAAAAATGCAATAAAAGAAAAGCGAACCAAAAAGTTTAAATTAAATGCTGTTCGAAAAGCACCAAAACAAGGACAACCAATGGGACAAAAGTTTGTGGAGGTCGCCGAAATGCAGCCTTTGAGAAATTGAAAACGTACGCAAAAAAAAAAAAAGAATGAGTGCTTAGTTAAATACAGTAAGTGTACGGTAGACAACAAACATTGTCTATAAGAATGTTTGGAATATTTCAGCATTTGAAATTATCTACGCTTTTTCCAGTTTCAG